GAAAGAATTTATGGGTTATTCTTATGTAATGCAACTGACAATTAATTCAACAGAAGGTTAAAAGAGTGTGCCTTTTAAAGATAAATACTGGACTCTTTGGGCAAAAGTAATAACAGAGAAGAAAATCAGGAGACTTGAAAAGGTAAGCTTTGCATACCAGCGAGGAAAAAGATAATGCTTCAGAGTTCCCATTTTATCTAAACTGCAGACTCTTTCCTAGAAAATGTAATGAAAAGGACGAACTTCCTCCAAATAAAGAATATAATAATGTCTCATTAAATCACAGAGATCAAAACAATGTCCTGTTAATGGAGAATTAATTGAAAAAAAGCTGCTTTTTCTTTGGTCCACTTCAAGCTATGTTGTTGAAAATATTTCTTAACACTGTATTTCAGTGTGTGTGTGGGTGTGTTTAATGCTAGTCCCTTAGAATTTTGTAAATGGGTATATGAATAAGAAGTGTAGTAGTTAAATAAACCTGGAAAATATTGACGATCAAGCTTTAGTAAGTGGCTGAACCATGTCATGTATTACTTGGAAGACCTAGTGGAGGGTGATTTCAAGCTTGGCTAACTCACGGTTCAGTTGCATTTTCACTTCCCTATCAAGTATTTACCCTGTTGTTGTGGTTTGCTATCATCTCTTCAGGACTACAAAATAACTAGAGTAGTTGCAGGGTGGGTGGACAGGGTGCGGTGTGGGAGATTTTTGATACAATTGACTAATCTCTTTGTAAGAATAAATAAACTTTCTCAGAAGTTCTCCAGCAAACTCTTTCTTTATATCTCATTGGCTAGAATTGTATCCTATCCCATGTTCCTACACCAGTCCTTGCAGAGGAGACTGGATTGGCTTCGACAAATCAGGATTAACTCAGTGAAAAGTCCAGAAATCCTCACTCCCATTGGTGGCCTCCGATATCTGAACAGAATCAGATTTCAGTTGGGAGACAAGGAGTAGGGATGGTATATGAGCAGTCAAAGACTCTGAGATTGGCAAATAATTGTGACTGCCATACTAAGGAAAATAAAGCTTAAATCCTTTTTATGAAACATAAACTTGTCACTTCTGATTTTGTTGATATAAGGCTACATTTTCAAGTCCTATTAGCTCCAAAGACAAATTTAATGCATAAGTCTTCTCAGAGCCTTTAATACGTTAACATACCTGGAGACTCTCTGAGAAAGGGATAAAGCCTGCAATGTTTCACAGATAATAAAATATTTTATTATGTAAAATAATGCAATTATTTTTCAAGGCATTCTTTCCAGGATGATTGTCTTTATTAGTATAGTTTGGAAATGGCTCCCCTCAATTATTAGTCTGTACCTATTTCATAGTGTATATTTTATAATGGTCAAAATGCCTCCAAGATTGCCTTTTCTAAGTTCTATAAAAAATAAGGGAAATTTATAAAGTAGCAGGTTATAAAATTAATACTAAAAATGAATAGCCTTATAAAATAAATATAGTAAAATGGTAATATTAGAATTTAGTTAGTGGGTTCACTCTAAAGTTCTTTTAACCTTGCTCTATGTTTGAAATTTTTCATAACAGAAAGTTGGAAAACAGTAAAACAGCCACAACGTAGCAAAGAGTAGCTTTTACATATACGATGAAATACCAATAAAACGATTCATGAAAAATAACACCACACTTATAATAGCAAAAATGAATAAAACATCATGGCTAACTTTGCAAGAAACATTCAAAACCTGTATGAGAAAACTTTAAACACTATTGAGAGAAGCAAAACTAGACTTGAGCAAATGAAGGTACAGATAGGAAGATTCAACCTCAGCAAGGCTTCTGTTCTAGGCGAGTTTATTTTTAAATACAATGAAAACCCGATAAATGGACCACCACGTTGCTAGATTTTCTTTCTGACGATAATGGTTAATAAATTTTATTGGAGGAAATAAATTATTCAGAAAAATCTTTAAAAATCAACAAGTCTGGCACAGAGGGACTTGCTGTATCAGTTATTAAAATATGTTATAAAGCCTTTATAAGTGAAACTCTGGTTTGGTGCATGGATAGAGAAAGTAAACCATGAAACAGATTTTAAAAATCCGTAAAGGGACCCACTCACGTGGAAATTTAACATATAGTAAAGGGAGAACCTCAAATCAGCAAGAGAAGGTGAACTGTCATATATTGCAATAACTGCATAGCTATATGGTAAAAGATAAAATTTTGATTAGTTTCTCACATTGCATAACAAAATACATTCCAAGTGAGTCAAATATTTAACTTAAAAAATTATATGAGTACTAAGAGAAAACATGGATGAAAACTTCTGTGCTCTGGAAGTGGGCTCATTTTTTCTAACCATGATTCAAAATCCAGATATATTAAGAGAAAACTAAATCAATACATTTTATTAGAAAAAAAGAATAAATTTTTATTTGAAAAAAGATACCTAAAAGAGGTAAAAGAATAATGACAAACTGGGAAAAATATTTGCAACTTAATCTCAAAGAGTTAATATATCTAATTAATTTTAAATACAGAAGAAAATGGCCAGTAATATTTTATCAGAATTGACTTGTTTATGAATAGTTTACAAAAACAAGAAACAAGTTGCATCTTTCCTTATGAAAGAAGCTCAATTTCCTTTATAACAAGAAAAATGCAAATAAAAACACAATAGGGTAGCATTTCTCACGTACCTGATTGACGCAAATTAAAGTTCGACAGCATACTCTGTTGCTGAGGTTGCAGAGAAACAAACATTTTCATCCATTGCTGGTGGGACGGCAAAATGATGCAATCCTTTTAGAGTGCAATTTGCCTATATATATATATATACACACACATGAATTTACCCTTTGACAAAGCTCCTCTACTTCTCAAAATTCTTCCCCAAAATACTCAGGCAAAAACTGAAAAACACATACAGGTATATGCAGAAGGCTGTTCTATACCTTTCAGACTATTAGTTAGACATGATTGTTATTCTAAGAATGTTATCTGTATATTATGGGATAAAGCAAATGAATAATCATAGCGATATCATTGAGAACCAAGATTTTCCTTATGAAAGGAAGTAGAGATTTAAGAGTGTCAAGGTTAAGCAAAAACTCTGTAGTCCTGAATATGAATGGGAAGTAGCTGCATAAATTCATGATAAATTTTATCGTTTTTAAAAAAAATCCTATACTACATACACTGAAAAACCCTAGATCCCGTGATAGGCAGTGAGCATAAAGTTGATTTGGTATTTAAATGAGATACATATAAAACACAGCTCTCTGGCATATGAGATATTAATGGTGCTCTGAAATGGAAAAATACAAATTCAAGTAAATTTGGGAAATTCTAAATTTCCCTCTTGGAGACTACATTTTATGTATAATGTTAAATGTTCTGGAAAAGTCTCTCAGTGAAGAAACCTAAAACTTTTTAGCACAGTGGCTGTTGGGAAACCTTCGTGTGTTTTGCAGGAAAAGGGGTTGAGGTTGTAGAGCTCTTATTGTTTCTTCACTACACAAATGTGCCATAGAAAACAATTTGGAAAATATTGATGTGAAAGTGAAATGCAATTTGTGGATAATTATTCTTCATAGAGGGACAGAGGTCTAGAGAGAGCTGCTGGTGTCATGTACTTAATGAATGCATGATTTAATGCAACAAGTGTTATTTAATATCTGCTAGATGCTAAATGCTATGTTCAATGGTGGGGATCCAAGGGTAAAAACAAGAAAAATGTCTTGGACACCTGGTAGAGCATTAAAATATGATTCTATTGACAATGCTATAAGCAAGTTTTGAAATGTTTTACGGGAATGTTGAATTGCAATTGAGTGCCTCAATGTGACACACGGTTGGGAATTAAGTATGATGGTGGAAGCAAAGAGGAAGGACCTCCTGGCAAAGTAAACAGCATGAGCAAAGATAGTTTAACTGCAACAATAGTCACACCTATGTGGAAGAGTAAAAGAAAATAAATGTGAGAGGGTAGGCAGGGCCCAGGTAATGAGAAGAATGTGGGCTTTGGGGTCTGACAAGCCTGGGCCATCATCATTGCTCTACCTGTAAATGACCTTTGAAAGGTGATTTAATCTCTATAAGGCTCAGCTTTCCCATCAGTATCATAAGGATAAAAAAAAAATTACCTCACAAAGTGATGATGACATAAAAATCCCACATCCACAGCTTTCAACATAGTGTGGGGACTTAGTCAATATCAGTTGTTACCATTATTAGGCAGATGGGAGCAAAATGATAAATATCCGCTGGTACCAGTAAAAGGGATCTGGATTTAATCTGTAGGCAGTAGAGAGCCATTGAAGGATTATTAGTGTGGGAATGGTGGGACTAACTTGATCGTTTGTAAAGATGAATATGGAGGAATGAATGGATGAAAGGAGACATGAGCTTTGCACCTGATGGAAAATGGTAGGAGGCATAAATAGGCCATTGGTGGAGTGTTTGAAACTCTTCAGTATTTCACAGGTAGAACTGCTAGAATTTATTAGACTTACATATGTGAGAGCAAGGATTGTGAAAGAGAAGAGAAAGAAAACTGACATCAGTGTTTCTAGCCTGAGCATCTGAATCTCCAGTAATATTAACAATTGAGACAGGCGACAGTTGAGACGGTACAATAGGTATGTAGAAAGTAATGAGTTCAGGTGTGGAATTTAGTTTGTTTTCTGTCATTATCCATTTGGTCTTTCTAGAATAAGCAAGCTTTTCAGACTTGAGTGTGGCAACCCAGCTTCTAATCTCAAAGATCCTTTTATTCTAAGGGACCACTATATTTTGAATAGCAGGTAAGGTGTCACAAAGTAAAATACTACAAACTATTAGAGAAATCTAACGTGGTAGCTGGATATGGATACCAGCTGGCTATCACGTGGTAGGCAAATGTGGCTTGAATTACTGTAGTTGTCGAAGCAGTGTTTTCTTTAAGCATAATTGAAAATTTACTTTTAAATTTAGACATTCTACTCAATGCCAATTTGTGTGTGTGTGTTTCTTGTTTTAATGTGCAGGACAGGAGAGAATTGGAAAAGATTCCAACTATGAGCAGGAGGGTAAAGTCCAGTTTGTGATTGACGCGGTCTATGCTATGGCTCATGCCCTTCACCACATGAACAAGGATCTCTGTGCTGACTACCGGGGTGTCTGTCCAGAGATGGAGCAAGCTGGAGGCAAGAAGTTGCTGAAGTATATCCGCAATGTTAACTTCAATGGTGAGTCTCCAAAAATCCATCCTTTTTGGAATCCTAAGTGTTGGCATTCTGTTTCATAAGTTTTAAATTTTTATTATGATTTGCTTTAAAATATGTGTCAAAACTTGCTTGATTATAAAACTTTAAATGACTGAATCAATGCATGAATGAGCAAATGAATGGAAGAATGAATTACAATATATTTGGGGGGTTATGGTTTGGTCTCGTTTTCTTGAAATAGAGATTTTTTTTTTTTTGCACACAGCCAAATTCTTCTTTGGTGAATTCAGGTGGGTATGGGATAGAAGAGGAAGGGAAAGGAGCAGTTGCTGTAGGTACCTCTGAATATGGAGAAACTGAAGCCATTTTTCCTCTGCTCACAAAGCACAACAAGAATTCACATAGAAGACTTCCATGACCAAATGTCAGGGGAGAGGTTTCCCCCACACACCAAGCTAGCAATAAATTCTGCAATGGACATAAGCTGAGTGTCCTCTACTTCAATTCCTACATGATGTATCTGGCATGCTGTCAAGCCCCACAAGTTGGAGGCTTGGTTCCCAAGACTCCTGCCCTTGCCACTTCTAATGACAGTGGCAAACCCTAGGTTGCTTTGTCTGTGCTTCCAATGGGCTGGCTATAAACTGGAGTTTCGACAATCCTCTCATCAGGTTTGATTAATTTCCTAGAGCAACTCACAGAACTCAGTAAAACACTTACTTAAATCTATGACAAAGGGTATTTTAAAGGATACAAATAAACCTCCAGATGAAGAGATCCATAGGACAAGGTCTGAAGGGGTCCTGAGAGTGGGAGCTTCTGTCCCCATGGAGTTGGGGTGTGCTGGCCTCCCCTGCACACAGATGAGTTATTGCTTACCTTCCTGTCAGGCTCCCTGTGTTCAGCTCTCTGAACTTTGTCCTCTTGGGCCTTTTATGAAGATTTCATTGAACAGGCATGATCGACAACTGTGAAGAAATGTGATTGGACACAAAGGATATACTCTAATACTAATAGGCTAAGCAGTGATACCCAGCAAGGCCTGTCTGTCCACATCTTTCTTGGTCTATCTGTGCAGCATTTCTTCCTCCAGGATATGGGACAGGACCGTTCTAAAATGAGGGTCTGATGGCCTGTTAACAGAAAGGTGGAGGAAGGTTAGTATCCTACCTTAGGTTGGTAGAAGGAGGGCAGGAAAAGTTCAGAAAGAGAAATTGTTTTCTGAGGCCTAAAGTGCACCAACATTATAACAAAGGTTATGGTAATTATGAGCCGAGAACCATAAATGAAAAGCTACACACACACACACACACACACACACACACACACAACATCAGAATACTCAAGTTAATAGAAGTAATGTTTGTAATTTGCCACATCAACCATATTTCAAGTTTTAAACTTATTTCTCAAAGTACAAAACTCTTTTATAAATTAATAGGTTACCTAAAATATGTGGGTAGAGATAGGTGAAAAAATGCGCCAATAGGATAAAAGGAATAGGAGGAAGCACACTCTGATAATATCTATTTGAATAGTCTCGACTCTTACATCTTAATGTTTCACATGCCAAGAATTAAATAAGTATACTTGAATGTATGAGCAATGCAACATTCAACACAGACAGTAACAAATTATCTTATAAATTACATAAGTAAAGTGAAGGAGGGTGAGGAATAAATCATGAATGCAAGTAATTTTGGAAAATAGTATTTGACTATATAAGGCTGAAGACAAAAATAGCTGTACCCGTTCATTGGACAATATCTAGCAAATCTGTGTTTTTTTTTCACAATTCTGAAGCTAATCTATGTATATAATAAGACTGAGAAAATAATTATATATATTGTGAATAATGAGAGCCAGTTTTCTCATTATCTAAGATAGAAACCACCAATAAGGATTGAGGGAAATCTAGAATGAACCCTGTTGTGTTGGATTATAATATGTATGGTTTTTAATAAACATGCAATGGGTAAATATAGAAGTAAATTTTATATGTGTATTATATATACCAATTCTGCCTGGCTCTGTTCCCTGAGAGGGCCTGAGAGCAATGATACACAGGTAAAAATGAACACATCTAGCACACAGATATTATTTATAAATACCATTGTTAAATTAAAAAGGTAGAAGAACCCTTAAAGAATGGTTGAGACCATTCTTTAAGGTCCTGGGGCAGGGAAAGCCCAAAATAAGCTTGAAGCATGCTGTGCCAGAATACAAGAAAATTCTCAAAAACTGAAGGGGTCATGTTGAAAGGGCACAGAAACCAAATTGGAAGAGATCCCATTGGCCAACTCTGGGATCCCAGTGGATTATAACTCATAAAATAACATAAGTAACCATGAGTCCATACTGATATCAATAAACTTGAACTAATTAAACAAATGCAAGAGAATAGGCAGCATGATGGAATAAAGTTAAGATAGAAATACAGAGTGGCCTTTTAGTAAAGACCTAAGTAGTAATTTTTTTAGGCAAGTATCATGGGATGCTAAAAGTATGGGGTTACAGTATGATGAGAAACAAGATATTTGCATAGCGTCAAAAGTACCTTCCATCAAGATATATATGAATAACCAAAAAGAAAATAGTAGCTCTGTAGTGAAGAAAACTGGGAGATAGCACGTAAAACAGGTGATCAAGGCGGACATCATCACTAATGAGACTTATGAACATTGTGTGTCTTTTGATACGATACAGTGGCACGATTACAGCATCACTTCTAAGGTTTTACTGCCGAAAAGTATACCTTAAACCTAATTTTAAGGAAACATCAAACAAATCCAAATTAAAAGATGTTTTATGAAATCACTGGCAAGTACTTTTCTAAAGTGCCCAGGAGAATAATAGATAAAGGAACTGTTTCTGACTCAAAGAGACCAAGGAAGTATTACTATCAGATGTAATGTGGAAATATTGATTAATCCTATGCTAGAAAAAAAACACTAATGGGAAGGTGGAGGAATTTTAATAACATTTGCAGATTAGTTTTAATAGTATTCTATCAGTGTTAATTTCCTGGTTTGGATATAGTATGGTCTTAAAAAACTCTTTACTTTTTTCTCTTAATAACAACTCATTTAAAACCACAACATGGTATCAATCTTTCAGGAGTTACCTAGTATCTGAATGAAGAGGAGCCACATTCAATATGGGGATCAATAGTTTCCTAGTTTAGATGGAGAGAAAGAAGATCAACTACAAGTTATGTTCTTTCTGTATTTTTTTCTTGATGTTACAGAATCTCCTAATATTTGTATAACCAATTTTCCCAGAGTCAAACAAATATAAATACTATTTTTTTCAATCATCGTATTTCATATGCTGAGGTCAATTTCTGGATTTTTTATTCTGGTTCATGGATATGTGTGACCATTCTTACACTAGCGACAAAAATAAAATTTGTTTGGTAAGTTTTCTTGATGGTTCTTCCCTGATTCTTCTTTTAGATAATGATTATAGACCCATTTTGTCAAGAGGGGATTGTCTATTGACAAGCCAGAATAGCTGAGCTATTCATAGGGCTTATGTTTATTAAGTGGTTATTGTGTGCCCGAAACTGCTAAACGTTTTATGCATTGGCTTATTTTATCTTTAAAACATCATAATGGTTTAGGATGCTATTTTTTTCTTTCTTTTTCTTTTTTTTTTTTTTTTTTACAGATAAGGAAACTGATTCATGGGGAACTTAAGAATTACGATGTTCAAATCCATACAGCTAGGTAGCGATGATGTTATACTTGAGACACAGGACGACTAAGTCCACAATCTGCTTCCTTGAATGTTATTCAAGTTGCTGAGAGCAAAGGCTTCCTGCATCATTCCTGCTGCCTCCTCTTATATCTGAGGTTGCATGGGAATTTCAGGAAGGGCTAATTTTTTCTCTTTTTTTTTTTTTTTTTTGTCATCATTGTAATCATACTCTATGGTCAACAAAATCTTCTTTCTCTGAGGATATCTTTTTCTTCCATATGACAGCTAAGAGACTTCTGGCTCCTAAGACACTGCAGTACTCATGGATGACAAGGCTCAAAAGTTTTGTAAATCAAAGAAACTGTGCTAAATTTAATCAGTGGGTCCTATGTCACTTTAAGTGAGCAAAGGTTAGAGGGGAAAAGAACTTGACATGTTTTACTCATTCAATTTTCTGACTTTTGGTTAAAAAATCAAATCTTAGAGAAAAAATATTTGTCCAAGACTTCATGGCTAGCAAAGGACAGAGACAGATCTAGAACTCAAGTCTCTTCCAATCCATTGTGAAAAATTTAAACTTTATTTTGCATATTTTAGGAGGATTTTGATTTTTCTTTGTCTCAGTAAGCTTGAGATGATGTTTCACGGTTACTTTAGTACAAAGTTTGCTGTATAGATAGGAGTTTTGTTAACAGCAGAGTATAATTTAACAGTTCTGGTCTTCGTATTTGCCAAAGTAGCAATTTAAAAAATGATAATATCATACCCTAAAGGTGTTTGATACAGTTTCATCAAGTATTTAGCCTCCTCTTATGCATTGAGGAAAGAAAAGGGTAATTTATCATGCCTAGATATTTTTCCTGCAACCCAAATCCATGCAAAGTCCCAAGCCTAAATTCATTTTAGTTACCTTTACGTTGGCCCATCCAACCATATGGCAATACTTACAAATATAAACTTAACAAATTTGGTGTCTTGATTATAAAATCTCAAATAATAGCTATAGAATGAAGGATTTAATCTGAAGCATGTCTGTACTTCAATTTACTAGTTTCTAGGAAACAAATTGGAGTAGGTTATATTTTGTAGAGATGGCAGATCTCACATGCTTTTTTTGCAATATGATGTTAGCTTTCCTTCATCAAGAGGTGAGATCTATTTTTCCTCCCTTTGAGTGAGCCTGTGATTAATTTGGAAGTAGCACTGTGACTTCTAAGGCAAAATAGTTTTGTCTAGTTTTTTTGAAACATTTGGACTATGAGCATGGGTACCATGCTGGGAGGAAGCCTAGATGTCCCACTGACAGGCCACGTGTAGCCACATGTTCTGGCTACAACCCCAGCTGAGGGTCCCACCTGTTAGCTAATATCAACTGTCAGACATGAGAGCCTCAAGTTGCCCCAGCTGACATGAGTGGACCAGAGAGCTGCTGTCCCTACAGAGCTCTGACCAAATTACGAAATAAGTGTTGTCACTGTTTTGAGTACTAATATTCAGACTGGTTTCTTGGGCAGAAAGAGATAACAGGAACCCCGAACAAATGTCACGTTCCTGGAATCTGTGCATGGTTTGGTAAAATGAGAACAGAAAATGTGTCAGATAAATACGTTGATGCAGAAGACTGTTTTATTATCTGGGCTATCTGAGTCTCTATTCCTTCTCTGTCCAAGAAGAAAGAAATTCAGAGACTCTCATCCAGTAGGGGAGATTTCAGATTTCAGTACAATCCATTATCTGTCCTTTACTGTCTGTTACCCATCTTCTCAGGTGACTCTATTTCTTTTGCCCTGGTGTACCTGCATCTTGGCTCTAATGCCTTGTGGGCATCTCTGTGGGGAATCATTTCCCCATTGGTGAATTCTTTATCTCCTCTGGACCTTTTTAAAATATAGAGTTCATTGAACACAATGCTTCTTATTCTCTTTTGAGAAGTTCATGAATGCTGTTAAAAAGGAGATGTGGGGATTAAAAAACTGGAAATAATAAGACAGCTGCATTAGAGAATCCATCAAAAAGGTCAAAGCCACACAATGTGCTATTACAAGTCATCACTTAGATAAAGTATTCAGCTCTTCTGCCTTAATTTTTTTAAACCGGAACTTTAATGAGAATGGAAAGGGCATGACAAGACCATTTCTTCTAACAAAGATTGCAAGAAGGGAGAAAGATTCGGTGATGGGGCCCATTCTGATGAATATGTAGCTGGTGCACTTGAGTTCCTCTGGAGCCCCACGCCTGCAATATTCTTCCTTTCTCTTCTCAAAGACTATGAAAAACTCAAATCGTACTGTTTAATGAATAGAAGCTGTAGAATTACGGCAAAGCGCAACATGAATCCTACTATCCAATGTGAAAGAAAAAGGTGAGTATCTGAATAATAATGTCTTCTGCAAACTGACAGGATTCTCATTTCTTTGCTAATAACATGTGAAATCCAGATTTTATTTCTTTTTCTTAGATACCCACAAGGCTTGTTGAAATCAGAAATCCAATATTAAAAATCTTTTGTTGTTATTGATGTTTTTGTTGTCATTATTTTCTCCCTATATTGGAAAGACTTGTGTCGGTTCTTACACACAGCAGGTTTAAGAGATCCCTATTATGATAAAGTGGGTGCCTTTGTGGTCTATGGGGGTAGCCCCTAGGTAAAAGACAGAAAAAAAATTGAAATGGTGATTTGGCCACACACAGATTCAGCTGTTGACTCAAATTGGCTGGACCAAAGCAGTGTTGCTCATAGGAGATCAGTGTCCACTCCCAGAGCTCCAGCTTGCTGTTTGGAAAATAAAAAATGTTTATACTGATGGAGAAATTTAAATTAGATGCCAGTTAGGTATGAGCACTTAGCCAGCAGGTGGGGAGCAGAGAGGGAGGAAGGAGCTAGTGTGCCAAAATCTTTATTGGGGTTCAGGGCTTGTATTAATCCAAGACATGCCCAATACTGTGTAATTTATAAAGAAAAAGAAGTTTAATGCACTCACAGTCCCATGAAGCTGGGGAAGCCTCACAATTATGGTGGAAGACGAAAGGCATGTCTTTACATGGTGGCAGGCAAGAGAGAATGAGAGCCAAGCAAAAGGGGAACCCCTCTTAGAGTCATCAGATCTGATGAGACTCATTCACCACCACAAGCACAGTATGGGCAAAACTGCCCGCATGATTCAATTATGTCCCACTGAGTCCCTCCCACAACACATGAGAATTATGGGAGCTACTTGTCAAGATGAGATTTGAGTGGGGACACAGCCAAACCGTATCAGGGAATTACCTAGGTATGTTTCCTGTGACAGAGTTGGATTTGTTAACTTGAAGAGTGTGTGAGTATAAGCAAGGGAACTCTGTAAGCTCGTTCTTGGTAGTTCCAGGAGCAGAGTAAGCCACTCAAGTTGTTCAGGTTATAGAGCCTTGTTTGTCTAGAACACAAAAACAGGAAATGGGTGAAGACTATCTTCAAATATGTAGAGCAAGGGTGACAAGACAGAGACAGGATGAGATGGATACCGAGGCAATTCAAATATTCATATTCAAATGAGAGTTATGACAGCATCTTAACCAGATAGGGAAAAATATGCTTAAAATAGTAAAAAAAAAAAAAAAAAAGCCAAACCTTGAGGATGCAGCCATGATGTTGAGAATATCCCCACATAAACAACTAACTCAACACAAGAATGACACTAAAATATGTGTTCAATAGATGGTAATGATTTTTAATAGTTTTTATAATTGTTTCATTTGCTTATGCCTCAAAACCAGACATAACAATGCTTTCAGCTCCCCAGACAAATGTATTTTTCATTGCACCAAAGTTGCCCTCTTCTAACTGGTATCTAATTTTAATTTCTCTGTCACTATAAATTTTTTTTTTTTTTTTCCCCCAAACAGCAAGCTGGGTCTCACATTGGGAGAGGACACTGATATTCTCGGAGCAGCACTGCTTTGGTGCCGCCAAATTTGGGTCAATGGCTGAAACTGTGTGTGGCCAAAGAACCATTTCAGTTTGTAAATGGCAGGAAATAGAGCATTGTTTTCTGCTGGGAATATTGGTCCAGTATTAGCCTATAGACAGATAGCAGTCATATATCATGTTATCATGTGGCCAGTGGTATTTTTTCCCAGTTCCAGAGGATCAGGAAAGAAACAGAACTCAGTTACTGAATATTTTGTGATTCTTTTGTAACTATTGCTGAAACTAACCAAAACTCATGTCTTGTATTATTTGTATACTGTTTTCCAGTTGTTCTATGTGGTTAATATTAAGGAATCTTTACTCATCCAACCATATACACTTATATATTGAGTATGGATGGATAGATACAGATGTAGATATAGGTATATATGCTTAATAAATATATTGGTTCTTTAAAATTAACTCCAAAGTCTAATTCTGCCAAAATAATTGATTGTGTCTTTTAGACATTTTAAGAAGATCCAAATGAGAAATTGAGAAAGAAACCAATATTTATTTTAAATAAATAAACATGGCCTGCCAAACACACTGCTAGACGTTTTACTCTGTTAATTATATAAATTAGAAATAACCAGCAAAAATATTTAAAATAGAATGTGTAGAAAAATACATTTAAATATATTTTTCTGATTTACTTCTTGTTTTCTAAATAGCATTTCTCTTTTAATATTAATTTGTTATTTTTGAAATTGTTTGACCACAATTTAGTGTTAGATGGAAACTAAAATAATAGTCAAAATCATCATCATCAGAAGCATAGTAAACTTAAGGCTGTCTCTTAAAAATAATGCATATAGTTTTTATTCCTCAGAAAGGGGAAAATACTAGAATAAAATTTTAAGAAATATTGAGAAACAGTGAAACTATTCAAAAGGGGAAGTAGTCTTTCACCTTCTATAATTAAAATTCATAGGCCATAGTGATAAATTGCCTATGAATTCCAGGCGCCGTTTTGGGGGACCTATTAAAGGGGATATCTACTAACTACCTTGCTCCTCAGCAAGTCTCTAGCCTGTCACCCATAGTACAAGAGATATAAGGAACCTTGTTTAACTTTAGAATCTTTCATTTTTTCTGTCTTCCTTAGGTAGTGCTGGCACTCCAGTGATGTTTAACAAGAACGGGGATGCACCTGGCCGTTATGACATCTTTCAGTACCAGACCACAAACACCAGCAACCCGGGTTACCGTCTGATCGGGCAGTGGACAGACGAACTTCAGCTCAATGTGAGTTCTGCCTGCTTCCCTTCTTCCCTTGTTGAGATGAATGAACAGACTTTTAATTTGCTCAGTTATACAAATGATTCTTGTTTAATGGTTGTGTGCATATACAAGTGGGCATGCAATTTGTTGTGGGCATCAAGAGGAACTGATATCCAATAATAATGATGGTGATGATGATGATGGGAAATGTGCACTGAGTTTTGTGTATTATATTCATCACTTGTGCGAATTATCTCATTTAATCTGAGATGGAGTTACTTAGCAAACAGGTTACTACTTAACAATTTCACAAGATCTTTCTCTTGGTTAAACTTTTTATTTCTTCTGCCTCCCCCAATTCCTTGCTTCCTTTTTCTTCTTTATTTGGTGGTACTGATTTTTTAAATAGTATTTTGAGACATTTGAGTGTATCACTTTATGTGAGATTTATAATGGGATTATCTGAGTAATTGCAGTGCTTCCCATTTCTGTAACCTCTCCCACTTTCTATAAAACGTGACCTTAAGTAAGCAGCCACTTCCTTTCACGAGATTATATCAAATCCATCAGCCAATGCCCCAGCTCCAAAACAATCAAAAAATTCTCTCTTAGCCTTTTTGTTCTATTCAGACCTTGAAATAATTGGATAAGACTCATCCACATTGGGGAGGGTAATTTGCTTTACTCACCTCCTGATTCAAATCTTCATCTAATCCGGAAACCTCACAGACACACTTAGAATGTTCGACCAACTATTAGGGCACTCCATGGCAAAGTAGAACATAAGATTAACCATCACAGTCTCTATCCTAGAAAATTCCTTTAATGTCTTTTGTAAAGCAATAAATTATGCCATTAGCCTTTATTAGTCTATAACTCAGGAAGTACTTTTTGAATTATTGAGAACAAGTCTTCTTGGGTGTGGAAAGCAAACCCATTTCTTGGGAAGTGGAAGGTTATGTCGTGGTTTCTAAGAAGAAAGGGTTGTTCACATAGGGAGGGCTGAAGCCACTGCAGGTCAATGACCTCATTTACACATAGCCTTAGCCTAGACCTGCTTTTGCACCTGTCCAGTTCTCCCCATCATGAGGTGCACCATACACATGAACTGGCACTAAAATTGGGTCCAAAGGATTATGCTCTGGCATCCAGGAATGGTTGGAATCAACAGGTACCATCCATGGCTTACATAAATGCAAACGGCCAAGATCAAAAGAGAAGCTAAGGTTATCCTGAATCCAAGGCACACCAAACTTGCAAGTAAAAGGAGAAAATAAAAACAACACAAACAAAAACCTAAAAGGTAAACTCAAGGGGTAGTAATCAAAAGTAGAATTAAAGCAGTATAACCTGGATGACACAGTCAAAGTGTGTTTTTTTGGGTGCTGCCATGTGATATGAAGATGGTTCTGCCAAAACTAAAGGTAGAGAATCAAGGTCTTTGGTGCATAGGTGAAGTGCTCAGGGCTTATTGTAAGACCCAGTGGATTAAATAGGTTCATTAATCTTTGCCAGCATAAACCCTGCACTCTTGTTAAATTTCTGGCACATATAATTTGTCCAATATCCATAAGAGTTCCCAAGTAGCATTCACCAACTTCAGATGGGATCTTACATGGGGGTTCTTAAGCACACTATTTTAAGAACAAACATTAACACTGGTTTATTTTTATTTGTTTGGTTTGTATTTTATCCTTTATAAGAATTGCATTTGATTAGCTATTCAGCAAGTTTTTGTTGCTTCTTTGGTTTTGGTTTTAAATAGCTATCAAGTTAGAAGCACTGCACGAGTCATATGCGTAGGTACACAGTGAAGATGAAACAAATGTGGTCCCTGTTCTTGCACAATTCAGCATCTAGGATGGAGTTACATGGTACACAGCAAGCAGATATGTACATGGAAATACTGAAGTATGATAATGGAAAAGGTGGTAGATAGGATAATGGAGGTAGAAAAGGAAGGACCTACTACAAGAGAAGCCAGCAATGTGAAAACTAGAGTGACCAGCAGGTCAGATGGCTGGTGTGATGATGATTTAATCAGCAAGGGAAATGAGAGGAAGGGGAAAAGGAGATGTTAGAGCAATAGGTAAGAGCCATATTCATGCAACCCCTTGTGTGTCATGATACATTTTAAACATTTTATTCTGAGTGCATTTAAAAGCCACTAAGAAGTACTAAGCAAGGAAGTGAGGGAGTGGCTGCATCAAATTTAGGAATAAAATTACTTTGGCTGCTGGGAAGATAATGGAGGGGGCAAAAGTAGCAGCAGAAAGACCAATTATGAGTGTATTGCAGGTGTCTAGCTAGAATAGGGTGGCTAAGTGAGGTGATTCTCAAACTTGAGTGTGCATCAGAGCCATCTGGAAGGCTTGTACCAGCACATATTACCCAGCCCTGCTCTCAGATAACTTGATTCAGAAGAACTAGAGGTGTGGGAAACCTCAATATTTGCTTTTTATCAGAAGTCATTGGGCAATGTTGACGTCCCTTTGAGGACCACTGGCTCAGGGACATGTGTGATAGTGAAGATGAAGCCAAATGAACGGGATACCTATGTAACATGAGGCACTGTGTGGATGATGGCAACACATGAGATGAGGGAGGCTGCTGGGAGTAGAAGGGAGAAAATCAAGCATCCCAATTGGGATTCTTATATATGTGAGACTTCTTAAGTCTTCTTTCATTATACTACAGGCAAAATGAAATTGATATAGGTCTGAAGCTCAGACAACAGTTGTGAGTCATAATTATAACACAATGTAAACTGTTACCCTATAAATGGTCTTTAAATCCATTACGAAGAGAGTAAGAAAAAAGCAGAGACCCCAAGCCCTTGAAAACCTCATAGAAAATGACACAATTCCAGCCAGGTGCAGTGGCTCATGCCTGTAATGCCAAGACTTTGGGAGGCTGAGGTGGGCAGATCATGAGGTCAGGAGTTTGAGACCAGCCTGGTCAACATAATGAAATCCCGTCTCTACTAAAAATACAAGAAAAATTAACTGAGCGTGGTGGTGCGCGCCTGTAATCCCAGCTACTTGGGAGACTGAGGCAGGAGAATCGCTTGAACCCAGGAAGCAGAGGTTGCAGTGAGCCGAGATCACGCCACTGCACTCCAGCCCTGGCAAGAATGTGAGACTCCATCTCAAAAAAAAAGGAAGAAAGAAAAGAAAATGACACAATTCCATTCCAACTGCTCCAAATACTCAGTTTAAAATATTCTGTTTAATTGGCCCAGAGATTTGGACTAGCCATATATTTTCGATTTTTGTTTGGGTTTATGCTAGCTAAAACAGGGGTTCGTTCTTGGCTGGGAACTAAGTGAGAGCATTCTTTATTCTACTTTGTCATGTTAAGAGTGTTGTGTTAGGAAAAACAGGCACCCTCAGGTGGATGCAGTAGTTTATACTTGGTATTGCATGGGACCTAAAGGAGTGAATGACAACCATGAAGGGGGTCACTTTTAGGGGGATAAGAGGCTGGGTTTCAACTAATGTGGCTACTGAAATAACTGGACTTGGTAGGATGTCACCCTGTTGATACCTTTTATTGTGAAATTTAATTTAAATTGTGTTCAGGGGGATAAGAAAATAAAAGTTAAGTAGAGTACCCAGAGGGCACCCCTTACCTGGAGACCCAGAATCACAGCCCAGTTGTCGAATCCAATGGTTGGTTCCTCTCCAACATCATCCTGCCCTTGATGTTCCTTTTTCTGTAATTATTCTATTAAAGATTCTGTGAGAGTGGAATTTGGGCAAACGGTTTTGTAGGTTTGCTTTCCTCTAGTCAACAGAAAAAAATAAAGTATTTCAAGTAAAAAGTATATGTCTCCTCACAAAGATTCATGGGTACTTTTTCAATTCTCAGTTTCATCATCCCAAGCAAATGAAATTTTCAAGGGCGGCTTTCTCTGTGGTCAGTAATTGCAAATGAATTTCTGAGCCAAGAAATCAGAGTTTTAGGTTCTTAGAATCTCAGCTCTGTAGATCAGACTGCTCTGCTGTTCCGTATGCAATTTCTGGAATTTAAGTGCTTAGCAGTGTGCTGTCTGCTGTAAAATGTTTCATGTACCCTCACTATACCCTGTCTCCTCTGTGGCCCAAGAGATGAATGCATGGTTAGCCACCAGGATATTTCTGCTGAACAAGAATTCTGTGGAAGGGAATCATAACCAACAAAACCATTCACTCTTCTGATTGTAACCTCTACAGAAACAGCCCTAATTTAATTTCTTAAGTTTCTATTCTACTATCTAGAGATTGTATAAAATACTCTTCCTGGGGGAAAGAAGAAGGGACAATGCAACAAACGTGATTGCTTATCTGCAGTGTGTCAGGAGAGATGATAGCTCATGGAGATGTTAGAATAAATAAGGGGCAGATCCATGCACTCCAAGTTCACAGTCTAGGGTAAGGACTCTGTAGTAGATATATGGCATTTTAGGGCTACAGACAGGCACTGGTTTAGAGACACCCACCACAAAGTTATATTTGAACTGGATCTTTTGAAGGTTAAGTAGTAGTTCCTTAGATGAAGCAGAAAAATAAATTGCTTTAGAATAAATAATGTAGTAATATTTAAAAATTAGGGTAGGGAAATGTTTCTGAAAAAAGGCAAGAAATGGAATGTGGATGCTTAAAAAAATTCTAAATTTATGTTGTCAGTAAAATATATTATGTGTGATAGAAACCATGATGGTTACTTTGTTGTCTTTTATTTATCTGAAATTAGGAAGTTCAGATATGTTAAAAATCCTAATTTTCCAAATAACTAAAATTGTCTAATATACCAAAATGTTAAAGCATTTTTAGAAAGGAACTATTCTTAATAGCAGCTTCCTGCAGTGAACTGCATATTCTCTTAAATAGAAGGCTGAATGAATGCTACTTCCTCTTTTCTGGATAACTGAAGTTCTACAAACCTCAATTTTCTGCCATTTGTTAAGATAGACCAACCTTCTGATCTTCTGAGGTATATGGGGTTTCTTAACTTTTTCTGGTGATTTTGTTTTCTCTGTCGAA